TGCACCGTTCTGTTGCGCTGCACATTCTAAATCAGCACTTGCACTTCTCACTTCTGAAGTGTGAATTTAATAGTCATAATATTATACTGCACCGTTCTGTTGCGCTGCACATTCTAAATCAGCACTTGCACTTCTCACTTCTGAAGTGTGAATTTAATACATCGAGAAGTTGCACAGAGACGGTAAGATGTGCAAGTGTTGAATTTGAATATCTGACTCCTTTCGAACAACTACCTCATACTCTGTCTCCCCCACTAAAACATTCTCATATATCTTCCTTTGCAGTGAAAACAGTGAAGGGGCCTTCTTTTGGAAAATCAACAGTTTGCCCTTTTGGACACACTTCTTTCATTGGTACCAGTCTTCATCATGTGCGCAAAAATGTTGTTACCAGATTTTCACCCAACGACTTATGTGCATGTGAGGTTCTCATGGCAGCTGACTATGAAGATTAGCATCTTCTGGGACATGACGCTATGTAGTCTGGCATATGTTTACCAATATTTTGGACAAAACTACTGCCTCTATCCCCCGAGCAGAGAAGCCATTCCTCCAAAATGCCGGTAAGCATCTACCAGACTGCACAACATCACATCCCAGAACACATCAATTTTCAACTTATTAAATATATGACACGTCCATTAGTTTAAAATATTAGCCATATATTATATGGAATACAGGATTTTAAATTACCCAGTAATATGGGGATAGGATTCAGATTTCATCTCAAGGATAACAGTAATAATACCAACAATTAACACTTGGCCAGCTTGGCCGAGAACACACGCTGTTATAATAATGCAAAATATGGCCAACAAAGACGTTCTTCCAAAAATGAGTGCCACAATACAGCTTTCTGAATAAGATTACAAACATCATTATAGGATTTTACTCATTATTTAGTAAGGTTCAAAAACCTCTGACCTGCTGACATAATCGAGCACCGAGGGAAAAAATTGCACGAACCTGTGATATCTCCTATCTAACTTGCATAAAGATTAACTTTACCACTATTTTCAATCAAAATGTGAATAATCCCAAATCTCAATCACAGTGTAGTTCGATCATTTTGTTTTTATTTCACCATTCTGTTGCAGTGGTTCCCCAACTATCTGGAGTTAAAAAGCAATGCTGGGTCATGTGAAAGGTGGTCAGTAGTGATAAAAAAAGAATAAAACTGCAAGGTCTTCAATATAATAGACAACACAGAAGAATTCACTGATATGTACACAAATAATGTATAAAATATGGTTGGCAAAATATGTGTATTATTATGCACATTCAAAATAAAATCATGTCAACATTAATACTATTATCATTTGCTTAAAACTTACTACAGAAAACTGTCCAAAATACAATGCTACTTTAATTGGTAAAAACTGTACTTGGTCTAATTAATAGCCCCAAAATGTGTTTCAGTTACTACATCTCAAATCGGCTTAAAATACTGAGGGTATCGACATAAAGTGTTGGTCTGCATATTCACACTGTACTTAGAAACATGATTTTGTATTTGCTACGATGCACAACAGATCAATGAAGACTGCTGTGCAAGGGCTGGTCTATCCTACCCCTTATGCATTCACTGTATTTGCCATCAATACCAAAATTGATTTTTGCATTACAGAAAAGCTGGTAACAATGAAATGATTTGGTAATCTCTACAATTAAAAATTATAACCAAAACATATACAATCACTGAATTATAAACTTACAAGCCTGTGGATGGGTGGAAATTATTTATCACAAGATGTCATTACGTTCTGCAACTTCTGTGTGAAACTTTTATTCAAATTCCTAAACACGAGAAATATAAAATTTTACAATTTCAAATAAATCTGCAATAATTGCGCACAGTCCCAAATTGTCTTGAAAGTATATATGTGGTATTACATGAGAATTCCCGTGTAAAACTGAACCCACTTGAAGACTGATGGCGGTATTAGATCACAGACACAACCTCTACACAAGGTGTTCAATGCAATTCAGTGCGGCTAAAAGTTCTTACCATCTATAACTCCCCGAACTCTAAGAAACTGAAAACTCTTGTGACAAAAGATTAGCAATTGATCTAGGGTACTTGGGACTTACCGAGACAATCACAATAAATGAAGTACTGCAGCACTGCACAGCACATTTATTCGCTGAACTGGGGATTTCATGACATGAGAAGCAAACTGCAATAATAATGTATCTACAAGCACAGAGTTTAATTTCAGCTTACATCATACAGCTACTATTAAGAGATGGTCTGTTCCACGTATTTCTGCTGACATAATTAGATTAGTGTATACAGGTGGATAAAGGCATAGGTAGGCTGCGCCACTGCGGTGGCCCGGGTCTGGTCAAGTGGGATTTGTGGTGGACAAAGTGGCGCTGGGGAAGGTTTTCTCCAAGTACTTCAGTTTCCCCTGCCAATCTTCATTCCACCAACTGCTCCACAATCACCCTCAGCTATCATCTGGGGCTGGTACAATAGGCCAGAAGTGGCACAGTACAAGGGACTTAGCCCCACCCCACTAGCAATAAGAAAAAAAGGGCATAGGTAAGGAAGGTCAGGGGCTAGGGCCCTGTGTAAGGCGGGCATTAAACCTGCCTAGCACGTGTGGGTAGAGGGCCCCCAAGGCTTTTAGGTGCACCAGAAACAATGCGTTTTCCACTACAGCATCACTGGTTCCAGTAGACAATTAAGTGTGTAACACATACCGACATCCCACCACATTTTTCAGTGCTCTGGGGCCCTGGAAACTCTTAGACCACCTATTTATTGTAGACTACTAGACTGGTGCAAGTATAATTAAATTTGAATTTACAAAGAAATGTCTTCAACACCAAGTTCAGAATCACTGCTATATTACTCATGAAAGAAATTACAATGACATCCCAACTTAGTGCTCCCACATTTAGTGAAATCCCACATTTACTGAATTTGTTCCACAAAATAATAAAAATGTTTTCTTTCATTCAGTGAATTGAAATCTGATAATCAGCAATTAGTGTAAGGAATCAGCAACACTCATGAACTCATACCTCAACTGTGCTCAACACCTGATAGCAATATTTTCTCTCTGCCACAACACATCATTACCACACAAACCTCATTTGTTGCAAGTACTTTCCCACAGTGAACACACACTGAAACCTCGCTGCTTGTGGTATATCTGGTTTCATTTTAAATAACTGAAGTTCTTTCAATGTTAAAACATTTAAAATATTAATCTGCTATTACTGATTACGTACTTGTATTTGTGTAGAAATAGTTTGTTTCTTTTGGTGTTTGTAAAGGTAAAGTCACCCCTGTGCTTAACTAAGTAAGCAATACACCACAAAGGTGTATGGGGGAGTGGATGTATAGATCCACATTTTATTGACATCAGCACTAGTTGGAGGTGAGTGACCAGCTGTATGCCTAGGGAAAGAGCCCCCAGTACCCATTAGACAGGGCACTGGGTGTTCCCCCTTTTGGTGTTTCAGTTTTATAAAGTGATTCTACTGTAACTATAAATAGTAAGCATTACAAGATTATAAGTCCGTTTCTTGATGTAATTTTGCATATCCCCCCTTTAGTAAAAATCTCAGTGTAAGAACAGCCATTCCTCCAGTGATTCATTAAACAGGGATTTCACTGTAATGTACACAATCCAGCAAACATCAGCTACAAGTAATTGCATACATTCTTACATTATTCAAATGAATGCTGCATCAGTGATTACTCTGAAGGTCTGAAAGGTAATCTTGGCATTCACTCAAACCACTGATTAGTCATCCTTCCACATGCTGCCATAAGAAAGAAATACAGAAAAACCCTTAACAGAACATGGGCACAGGGGAACACATCCGGTCAAAATATAAGAGTTCCTGCCACATCTTTCAAATGTACCATGTGGATATGGACAACCCTTTTGTGCTTAATATTATATACTGGTCAAAGTTTGATAACTAGCAGCCATTCTATGAAGTGACTACAGTCACATGCAAAAAAATTTAAAACAACGTGAACAATGTGAAGTTTAATGTTTATGTACTGAATATGATTACTTCCTGTACACTTCAAAACGTCAATCTCAAAATTTAAGAGTTCAGGATGATTAATTTCTGGCCATTTTACCCCATTTCCTACAGCACTGTCAAATTAAGAATGTACTGGTGAATCTTAACACTATTCATGATAGATATGAGACAATATTTAGGCAAAGGCTGTTATAGCTACAAAATGTTCTCAACAAAACTACTGGATGCAGAGAGGAAAACAAAAGAGTACGTATAAATTACATGTTACCCTAAGAATTCACCAGTTAAGAGCAAGCAATTGCCACAGACTTACACACCTGAAGACATTTCTAAAGAATTTACCATTGTTACTTCCAGAAACTGAACACTAAAACCAAAAAACCTACACAATTTGTTCAAGGCAAATAAACCTAAAACAGAAAATAAAATATCCTAGCATACACTCAGAATGTGTAATTTCTGTAAACAATAGTAGTTAAAACAAAGGCAGTTTGTTGTCACTTATTTTTTAACCACTTCACACATTCAAAGTTACAACTGTTTTGTCAAATATCTCAGGAATTCTCATGGCTACACACAACTGTCTTCAAGGAGTGCATTAAAATTGCATAAGGGAAATGTTACAACCCTTCTGAAACCAAAACACTGGTAAAAGCAGTTTCTGATGTTTAACAGAGTTCTACTGCATGAAATTTTTGGAAATACAACACTTTGCAAATCTCATTTTGAAACTTTTTTATACTTCCACAGTATGTACACTGACAGCAGTAAATGCTTGCTTGCATGTGGCTGAGCAATAAATATTTTAATCCTTTCTGACACCATTTTCAAGACCTTACATAATGTTTCAAACTGCAAATTATAACATAAGAAATTAACATACGAACATAGTACACAAATCAGTTCAGGCTCGGTGGATTCAAAATATCCGTTTTGCCTGGACTTTCAGGTTCAGGTTGGGTCTGGGAAGCAGGTGGGTGTTGGGTTACCTGCTGTAGGCCAGATGCTGGCATGGCTACTATCTGCCCTGCTCCTGCATTCAATAGCGTCTGGCTGGCTGGTTTTGCTGCAATGGTGACAGTTTTTGGTGGCCCACCTTGCTGGCCTGGCACTGTGATAGTAATAGGTTTACCCGTATTACCCCCAGCTACTGCCCCGGACGATACTACAATCATTTTTACACCTCCGGGTCCAGTGATATGACTTGCTGCAGACAGAGGAACTGCATTTACAGTGGATGTTGTAGCACCTGTAATTGAAGATATGAAAGGCATAAATTGACATCATCACTGCATTCCTCATACCTCTTACTGATGCAATCCTAATTGCTAGGATACAAAAATAAAAGTGACAAAAATGTTCTTTCTATAAAGAAAAATAGTAAACACATGTCAACAACATTCAAACACAGAAAATGCAAGTCCAAGTAATTTGGTGCAAGAGTCACTAATCTTTCCTGTGGGAAAATTTTGCTGCTTAAGACATGAAGGACTGAGAAGACAGACGACTGTGAATGTAATTTATATTTATGTTTCTATCTTCTAATTAATCTTGAGAGATTGCTGCCTCCTGGACATGAGGATATAAATGTGACAACCAATTTTCTGCAACAATGACTGTTTAGCCAAATAAATGTAGAGCCATCTCAGTATAGCATACAGCTCAACATACTACTCATTATCCGAGTGAGAGACTTAACCAGTCTGCCTTTCAGGTATGTTTGCAACCTTGTAGGGAACCTATTATGTCTTCCCACTTTGTCTTATGTTGGGTGGATATGCACAAAACCTGTTGACAAGAAACTGAGACAGTCATTTGAATTTTCAATTAGACTGAACAATTTCAACATCCAACTTATACTGAAACCTACATGCATCTTTCCACATACCTCAAGTATAACGTCCTAAATACTTATCACAGCATAGATTTTTTCAAACAAAAGTTGCAGAGAAAAATGAAATGCCCATTTCATGCTCAACACATTCTCCACGTCTTATATGTAGGTCGTACTGAAAGTCATGAGCAACAATTTTCTGTAAAGTAACAGGCTTTATTACTGACAAACCAAATACACCACCTCAATCTACAAACCTTTATTTATTTTTCCACATAATTGCCAATTCTTTGTACACATCTCTCCCAGCATTCTGGGAGTTTGAAAATTCCCCTTCTGTAAACTTCCGTTCCAGCCATTCGAAGACACTGACGCACTGCTTTCTGAATTCAGCATGCTTATGGAAGTGTGTTCATGGGTGCGAGCAATGTTCGAAGATGGGTGAAACATTTTAAAGATGGTAACACCAGCATTGAAAATGAGCCTCAACTGAATGCAACACAGAAAGAGTGGATGAGATCATTCAAGATGACAGGCGTGACTGTGGACACAACAGCCCGAAAATTTGGAATAGGGCACAGTGCAGTACAGGAGATGATTGAAAGCTTGGGCTATAGGAAAGTTTGTGCTCATTGGGTCCCGCGGTTATTGACCGAAGACCACAAAGGTCACATTGGAAGCAACTGCAAAGATGGGGTGGGAAGTTCTACCACACCCCTCCTACAGCCCTGATCTGGCACCCTCTGACTACCATCTTTTCAGATTTGTGAAGGATCAGCTGCGTGGACGTTTTGAGACATGGGAGGCAATTCAGAAACAGTGCGTCAGTGTCTTCGGATGGCTGGAACGGAATTTTACAGAAGGGGAATTTTCAAACTCCCAGAACTCTGGGAGAAATGTGTACAAAGAAATAACGATTATGTGGAAAAATAAAGAAAGGTCTGTAGATTGAGGTAGTGTATTTGGTTTGTCAATAATAAAGCATGTTATTTTACAAAAGAATGTTGCTCATGACTTTCAGTACGACCCTCGTATGACTATGCATAATTTTCTAATTTCATAAAACATCTAATATCCACATTATTTTATTATTCATGTGTTGCTTCCCCTTACCAGCATGGCCAACTGGGAATATACAGGGGCTGAACAAAATAATCGAAACACTACAGATACTTCACATATTTCTTTGTTTGAATCAGCAAAGAACATAGTGTCGCATATTATAACGGAAGATTTGAAAATTTTTATACAAAGAGTTATACTCTATTTTCCATCTTTTCTTTTAATTTTGATGCGTACTGCAAAAATGGTTTCCCAGTTCTTCACAGAGTTGTTCTGCATTATAAATTAATTTCTGTTTGTAACACTTGACAAATTTTAGCAGTCCATGGTGTCATAAAACAGATGGAGGTAACAAAATCATTTGGCCTTCTGCTAGCACTGCTTACACTCTTTGGATTTTCGAATCTTTTGACTGAAGGTCAGAAGAATAAGATTGGCTATTCAAGAGAAAGCTAGATGGGTCCCCTCTTCAGTGCTAGGGCTTTCCATTATAACTGCAAGAGATTATTGCCCTTTCTAGGGTCATGAATAGACAGTTGCATCATGGCTGAGATACAGAGTGTGATCTGTTTTCTGTTCGTTCATAGTGAAATCGAATACTGAAGTTTCATTTCAGCCTATAAATACATCAAACAGATAACAACAAAAAAGGTATTGTAACGTGTTTGGAATCCAGAAGAATCACTTCTATGGAAACGCTAGAACGGACCGTTGCATAGGAAGTAACAATAGCGATACTGTAATTCTAACAGTGAGCATTGCATAGAGATGAGTTTCCACAGTTATAACAAAGGCTCATTGTACAGCAACCGCCGAGGTATAAATAGCCCAGCTTCGACAAGAAGAAGTCAGTCTGGAATTAGTCGCCAAAGAAGTTAGTTTGGAAATAACTGCCGAAGAAGACAGTCTCAGGGCAGATGCTGAAAGATACAGAAGTCAGTCTTCAGGAAGCTGCTGCTGAAGATACTTGGAATCTAGGTATAAAGAGCTACAGAAGTATTGGCCGAAATATTGCGTAAGCAGTAATTGTAGTACTGCAAGTGCTAATAGTTGTAAAGTGTGTAAGTGTGAGTGTCCAATAAAGATTCGCTGAATCCGAGACCCACGTATATTTATTTGTCGTGTGACACACCCAATACGTGACAGTATGTACATTGAATTTTACTATACACACACACACACACACACACACACACAAGAGGGTCGTACTGAAAGTCATGAGCAACAATTTTTTGTAAAGTAACATGCTTTATTATTGACAAACCAAATACACCACCTCAATCTACAGACCTTTCTTTATTTTTCCACATAATCGCCACTTCTTTGTACACATTTCCCTCAGCATTCTGGGGGGTTGAAAATTCCCCTTCTGTAAAATTCTGTTCCAACCATCCCAAGACACTGACGCACTGTTTCTGAATTGCCTCCCTTGTCTCAAAACGTTGTCCACGCAGCTGATCCTTCACAAATCCAAAAAGATGGTACTTGGAGGGTGCCAGATAAAAACTTCCCACCCCATCTTTGCAATTGCTTCCAATGTGAGGTGAGCGGTGTCATGCAGAATGATGATGTTTTGTCACAGACATTTATCACGCAATGCATGATGGAGCTTGTGCAGCGACTGGACATAACGAGCAGCATTGATGGTTTGCCCAGGTTCCAGGAATTCGGCCAGAATAAACCCTTCTGCATCCCAGAAGGCTGTGCCCATCACCTTCGCAGCTGATGGCACTCTTTGCCTTCCTTTTTGATGGAGAATGCAAATGGTGCCATTCCATACTCTGCTGTTTCATTTCAGGCTCAAAATGGTGAAACCAGCTTTCATCACCAGTCACAATACAGAGCAAAAAATCACTGCCTTCGTGTCGATATCTCTGCAGCAGTTCTGAGGTGATGGCTTTTCGCTGACCTTTGTGGTCTTCGGTCAATAACTGCGGGGCCCAACGAGCACAAACATTCCTATAGCCCAAGCTTTCAGTGCCCTATTCCAAGTTTTCGGGCTATTATGTCCACGTCCACACTCACACGCCTGTCATCTTCAATAATCTCATCCAATCTTTCCTTGTTGCATTCGGTTGAGGCTGTTCGAGGATGACCGCTCTGAGGCTCATCTTCGATGCTGGTGTTCCCATCTTTAAAATGTTTCACCCATCTTCGAACACTGTTCGCACCCATGTGCGCACACTTCCATAAGCACACTGGACTGTGCATGCGCTTCTACTAGCAGAGTTTAAATGCCTGACTGGCCAAAACAGGGTACTTTGGCCATGACAACCATACTCATCACTGGCCTGATTGGGGCACTGCGGCCGTTAGAGGTTAAAGCTGCTTTAGAGATGTCAGAGGTGGGAATCTGTTCCTCACTGTAGTCTTCAATTTGACCAGAGTGGTTGAGTGATGTTCAAATATGGTGATTGTGCTGGCCAGGGAAGTTTTTGAAGTTCACTTATATGCGCTTCAAATCATGACTGAACAGTCACAGCTGTGTGAATAGGCACTGTCATCTTTGGAAATAATGTGGATTATGGGATGTACCTGTCCAATTACTCCCTTGCAGTAATTCAGCCATTAAGGGTAATAATGGAACCAACAGAATACCACAATATTGCTGCCCAAACCACCACAGAACCTCCCTCATTTCAATGTTGTAATTACACATTATGGATTGTAGGCTTCCTTGGGTGTTCTCCAAACATAGGGAACAGCATGGAGGACTCATCTGACAATATCATGTGCACGTTTCCAGTTGTCTGACATCCAGGATTTATGGCCATGACACCACTGTTTACACATCTGAACATTACTTTCAGTAATCAGGGGTTTATAAATTGAAGCCCTACCGTGGATACTGAAAATGTGAAGCTCACATTGGACAGTTTTTGTGTAAACAAGTATTCAAGATGAACGTTCAGTTCTGCTGTCACCTGTGCTACAGTAGTTCTGTGAATTTTCAAAATTCTGTGGTCTAGTGGTCAGGGTTCCTGTCTATAGATCCAGATGTCTCAGGTTCAATTCCCAGCACTACCACATTTTCTGAAAAGTAGCGGGTCTGGAACGTGGTCCACTCAGCCTCGTGAGGATAATTGTGGAGCTATTTCAACGGCCAAAGTGCGGCCAGGATTAGGTCAATTGAAAAAATCCAATGACCTCATCGGGACTTGAACCCGTGACATTCCGGCTTGTAGCACGGTGCCTCAACCAACTATGCTACTGGGTGCCCCCCCCCCAATTACCTGTATATACTGTATCTGCTTTCTGTCGAAGGTATCTGCCCAATTCAAATTCCAGATGGTTATGTAATATGTGGGTCACAGTCATGGAAGGTGGTTGATAGAAGCCACAAACAATGAACTAACTACAGCATTTTGTGGCCAGAAGGATGATCTGAACCAGTTTTAAAACTTCTGTACATAATGTTGCTGAAGAGAATCAGTTCTTTTATTCCTAACCTGATCGACTGTAAGCTCAAAATCTGGACATGATGTTAAATGATGTGGTATAAATAACCTCACATCTCCTTCTCAAATTAGAATAGAGAAAAGGGTATGTAAATATACAAGATTTATGCGATGAGAACTGAAAGAGTGCACTAACATCTTGGAGGGGGAATATCATATCCAAGTAATGAACCTCTGTTCAACATGGTGTCAAATCAAAAACATCCTAACAAGACAACTGGGAACACTTTTTCCTTCACACTCATATTCATTCAAAATGGGTAGCTGCAGACTGTAGAGGTCAAGCGCATAATGTTGCTTTGTGAAATGAAGCTGAATATTCACAAGGAGTGTTCAATAAATAATACCCAAGGACATGTCACAATCGAATCTATTACTGGTGTCCATCAGAACACAGAACAAAGGGCAAACACTCTCCAAATAATCAGCATGAGTGAGACAAACATGTTTTCCTTTGACATACTTCTTTGGTGGCCAAAAGCATCGGAAATCACTACCCACAAGATCAGACATTCTTAATGAAACTGCTCCAGAGTTGCAGTATGAGGCATGCTGTATGGGTGACATCATGCAGAAAAGTAATTTTTCCTGTGTACACAAGGACTTTTTTTTTCTGAATGGCTTCCTTTAACTGTTGCTGTGTTCTGCAACAGCACAATGTATTCAATGCTCCCAAGAGGAAACACAAGGAAAATGCTCTGCCCATCCCAAAATGCGATCATCAAGCCTACCGGATGTTGTCGATGTTTCAACCTTACAGCCCATACCTTGTGCCTAGCAATTTCAACCTCTTCAGAACACTGAAGAATGAAGTCGGAGGAAACCACTCTTGATGTACCAACAAGGTGAAAGCTGAACTACAATGGTGGATGAAAACATTTCTGATTTCTTCCACATGGGAATCAAGCAGATGATTGATGATCAATGCCTCAGTCACTCTGGTGATTATACAAGGTGATTCAAACATTACCGAGACTGATTTTTTTTTTAAAAAACCACAATTGCCAAACACTTACTTCCACATGTCAGTCTTCAACCTACTCCCCTCCAGAGTCCACATTTTTTCCCAACGTTCTGGAAGCATCCTGATGCCCTTTTCAAAAAAGGCTTGTGGTTAGCGGCATATCCACTCCCATACTGTCTGGATGATGGCGGTGTCATCCACAGACTGCATGCCTTGCAAGTCTGATTTGAGCCTTCCGAAGAGGTAGAAATCACTTGGGGCCAAATTGGGACTGTACGGCAGATGTGTCAGAATGTTCCATTTCAATTTCCGGGTTTCCATTGTTGTTTTGGCTGTATGGGGGCGTGCATTGTCTTGAAGGAAGGCTACCTGCTTTCCACCTGTCTTCTGCTTGGATCGAATCTTTTCCTTCACGTCTGTTGCCAGGAGGTCTGAGTAATAAGCTGCATTGACTGTTCTGGCATCTGGCAGAAAATCTAAATGGATAACCTCTGCCAGTCCCAGAAGAACGCTGCCATCACTTTTCCTGCCGAACAGCTCCTCAGTGCTCTCTTGGGTTTGGGAGCCCGCCACTCCCGTGATGACTGCTGGGATTCGGGAATGAAGTAGTGCACCCATGTTTCATCAGTGGTCACTACAGACTTCAAAAATGCATCACCTTCGTCTTCAAATTGCTGTAGGAGATGATTGGCAGCTTGCATGTGCACCATTTTGTTCACGTCCGTCAAAGTGTGCGGTACCCACCGTGCATTCACCTTGCGATAATGCAGGTGGTATTTCACGATGTCTTCTACACTACCAGCACTGATGGACAGCATTGCTCCAAGTTCCTCGATAGTGATGAGCCTATTCTCACGAATAAGCGCGTCTGCATGATCAATGTTTGGCTCAGTGACAGATGTTCGTGGCCGACAATCACGCGGTTCATTCTCCGCGCACTCTCTGCCCTCTCTGAAGCACTTACACCACTCAAACACACAGGTCCGGGAGAGACACTCTTCCCCATACTGTTGTTGAAGTCTATGGTGAATTGCAGCAGACAGGGTGTTTTCTCCGAGGAATCTGATCACAATGCGTTGTTCCATGCTCTGTGGTATCTTCTGTTCACGCATCACTCTAGCAACTCCCACACAGGACTGAAGACGTTCTAACCCAAACAGGAGGGAGGGTGGAGGTTGTGGCTTCACTCTCTCAAGGTTTCAGAGCTGTTGCGCAGTGCAGCATGTTTACATACAAATCAGTCTCGGTCATATTTGAACCACATTGTAAAAAGTACTGTAGGGCTTGCCCTCCATTCTTCATCCTCCTGGATGTGTATGCTGAAGTACAAGTATGGGTGTAACGTATATCCTGGATAGGCCGTTCCATAGCTCAAGTGGTTAGTAGCTGGCTTCCCACAGTGGCGGCCCAGGTTTGATCCCAGGTCTTGTCAAGTGGGATTTGTGGTGGACAAAGTGGCGTTGGGGCGGGTTTTCTCCAAGTACTTCAGTTTCCCCTGCCAATCTTCATTCCGCCAAATTCTCCATCATCATAATCACCCGGGGCAGGCTACAACAGGTCAATCAGTGGCTGTTGTGCCGAGTGGAGCTAGTTGGACCCCATCCCCCACTAAGCAAATTTTATCTCCTGGATGTTACTCACTTGACAACCAATGCATAAAAATTTTCAAAGTCTGTTACAGTGAAACGTTGCTATGACAACACAGGTGCTGGGCTGAGTAGATTAAACATGCAGATAAAAAAGTCATGCAATCAAACATGATATGTCATTACTTGAACGGTTTCACTTCTAGGGTTTATGATCATAAATCAAAATAAGAGATAGTTTTCTGCGGCTCAGTTTTCACTTACCCATGGCAGTCTGTGCAGCACTCACAGCCTGAACAGTCCTCAAGCCAGATGCTGTGGTTACCACTATTATTTGTGGTCCACCAGCAGGACGTCCTGGCATGCCAACACTCATACCAGCTGTCCCTGGCATGCCACCTGTCATTCCTGGACCCGGTTTCGTGATCACTATAGTCTGCTTTCCCCCAACCCCTGGTGCTTTGCTCACAGTCACCATGTTTGTTGGCACAGTCTTCATGGTCGTTAGTACCTTTGCAGTGGCTCCACCTAATGGGACAAACAAAAATTATAAAGTCTATTAAGACATGTTCTTTCTTTTAATGAAATAACTAAATCAATTTCATTCTGAACACATATTTTTGAACAAATCACGCACACACAGACACAGTTCATGCTGATGTCACATCAGCAGATAAAAATTATATGAGGGAGGTAGGAATGCTGAAGCATAACCTCTCTGCTATACAGGTTTGATGTGTTCCTCTTCAGCAGTACTACAGAGTAAAGGTTACTACACACCATCAAGGCATGTGCAGTCAAGAATCTAGATAGGAACTATAAGAATAGGAACATCTATATTCTATCAGATGGGAATCCAAAACTGGACTCAAACAGGCAAAGGGACTTATATCAGGGTCCTCCACCAGAACAATGAAGGATATGTTATTAGACAAGAGACCAATTAAGATGGGTGGTAGGACTGTTCGCAGGGTGCTATCACCTAAAAGGTCACCTTTTCAAAATGGGATTGACAGACGATCCCACTTGTGAAAGGTGCCTGAAAGAAGACGAATCAGCCCGACATATCCTATGCTATTCCGAGGACACAGCTCATTTAAGATTTTGTCACTTGGGCCAGTTCTTTATGGAACCAAGCAACTACTATGACACCCACATAATTAAAGCCCTGCAGTTTATTCAAATTGTAGGATTAATAAGGGGTTAATTAAAGGGGCCCCCTCGTTGGTGAGGGGGTTTGAGTATGCCAAGGACCCTGAGAGCTATACCAGCGGTAGTGTAGCTACTGGCAGGGCCTCCCTTGCTGGACAGGTCAAAGGGTAGGCATCAGACGAAGAGAGACACCAAAAACCAAAAACTGATGCCGGAAGCAGCGTCATCAGCAGCGACTTGAAGCACAGAACAAATGATGCTCGAGATGGTTCAAGTTCGTATAGCAACAGGCGTGACCAGAGTGGTTTGAACGGCTGTTGTACTGCGATGTGGAAAGCAAATGGAAAAACTACCACATTATCACTTTTCCTGGACAGTCTCTTTCCAAAAACAGAAGATCACATTAAGTGGAGGAACTGTTTTGGAAGAGACTGTGGACCTGTCATCTGACAGTTACTGATCAATCAATCAATCAATTAAAGGGGAAGCACAACAGATAACTGTTGGTCTCAGTGCAGGGGTTGGATTGTAGCCCACCCCTCATACATACATACATACATACATACAAAGGTTACTGTTTATCTTGCATTGTGACTTACATAAGCACCTCTCACGGTTAATTGGCACAAAAATATGGAAACACCTCGTGAAATGCATGCCTGAATTGAAGTGTTTATTTTAGCGACGTTTGTAGGTGACACTGTTGTATCTGCCCAATACCACTACTTGTGCAACCTCTGCAATACGTTGCACGCTTCACTTGTTGTCGAGCCAGTCTTCTGTGTAGTTTTTAGTGCATCATGTCAGAGCTAACAGAATTCAAACGCAGGCAAATTGTTGGGGCCCATATGGTGGGTGCTTCTGTAACGAAGGTAGCCGAGGTTTCTGGTGTTTCGCAAGGCACAGTATCGAAGATTATGACCACATACATGAGGACTGAAAAAACCGCATCCGATAAACACCAGCGTGGACGGAAATGTGTGGTGAGTGATCAAGACAGACAAACATTGTGTAGGACTGTGACGAAAAATAAGAAGACTACAGATGCAAAAGTGACTGCTGAACTGAATGTCACGCTCACAAACTCTGTCAGCACCAAAACCGTACGAAGGGAACTCCACAAGAAGGGTATTTCTGGACGAGCTGCAATTCCAAAGCCACTCCTCAGTGATCAAAATGCCACTAAGAGGACAATGTGGTGCCGAAGTCATAAAACCTGGACTATGGAGCAATGGAAGACAGTCATTTGGTCGGATGAGTCCAACTTCACACTGTTTCCGACTTCTGGCCGACTTTACGTCTGGAGAACACCATCCAAAGCTTACAAACCAGACTGTTTGCTGCCAGAGTGAAACGTGGCAGGGGTTCGATCAAGGTATGGACAGCCATATCATGGTATTCTATCGGACCCCATCATTACCTTGCAAGGTCACGTCTACGTGACCATTTTGGGTGACCAGATCCATCCCATGGTACAAACTTTGTTCCCCAATGGTGATGTCATTTACCAAGACAACAATGCCCGTGTTCACACAGCTCACATCGTCCAGGACTGGTTTTCTGAGCACGAAGATGAAGTGTCACATCTGCCATGGCCCCTACCATCACCACATATCAATATTATTGAGCCTTTTTGGTCTGTTCTGGAGAGCAATCTGCGTGCGCGCTATCCACCTCCATCATCGTTAACAGCACTTGCCAATGTTTTGCAGGAAGAATGGTACAAGATTCCCTTGCAACTCATACAAGACCTCTATTTATCCATTTCAAGGAGACTGCAAGCTGTTCTGCAAGCCAGAGGTTGTCATACACTTACTTATTAGTCACAGTAATGTGTTTTTTGTTGGGTGTTTCCATATTTTTGTCCATCACCTGTAGTTCTCAACCACATCTGTGCCAGAATCAGTATTTTACATCACAAGCAGAACTTTGTGTATGTGGTGGGTTTTCTTTTTTGTATTCCAAATATGAGGGCTATTCAGAAAGTAACCTCCATTTATTTTGGGCAATTAATGTTGGAAATAGTTGGGAGGGGGGGGCTCAGGCATGCAATGTAGCATCACATAACCCCTTGCCTTGTAAACTATCATATAACTGGTCACATAGCATTTGTTCATCTCTGCAGAGTGAGTTACGATGCGTCCTGTGATTGATAATCCTGCCAGCTGTATAATTTGCTGTTATAAGCTTTCTCTGGGCTAAATAGGTGATTATTGCAAAAATCCATTATGAATTATGCACACAGTTTACAGCCAAAATGTAGCAAGGGAAGAAACTGTGGGATGATGGTATAGAATGCTCAAAGATAGGCAAATAAATGCTCGCGATGAAGCACTAAGTGGCTGGCAGTGATGCTCTTGTTCAAAGTGTTGACCAAAAGATTTGTGAAAGGTGGCGCTTCACAATTTCAGATATTTCAAGTGATTTTCTACAAATTTCATGCACTCTTATAGATAAGTTAGGCTAGACTGTCACAAGCTTTGACCTTTTTAAAGCAATACCACAAAGATGGCAATGAATTTCTCAATCACATCTATGAGTAACAGGTAATGAATCCTGGGTTTCATTTGGAGAATGTTGAAACCAAAGGGCAGTCGGTGCAGTGGATGTGCATACATATTCAACAAACAAAAGGAACAGTTTAAACAAATGCTGTTTGCCAAAAAGCTGATGATAACTGTTTCCTGGGACAGGAAAGGCATGCCAATGGTGGAATTCCTGCAGCAAGAGACACCACCACCAACATCCAAAGCGTATTGTGAAACAGTAAAAAAAAATGCACAGATCCATTCTGAACAAAAGGCATGGAATGCTGACATCCAGTGCAGTGCTCCTCCGTAACAATGCACGTCTACATACAGCTGCTCACATTCGATTCCTTGTATGGCTGTGGTTTCAGTAATTTCGCTGCAGTTCTCACAAAGCTCTATTTGTGCTGGACATGCAAGTTTACATTAAAGCACAGTGTTTTACATGAATACCACATGATGTGCAAGTTTGCTTGTGGGAGTTTGGGCAAAATCAGAGCAAGTTTCCCACAGGATCTTGTCAACAAATTAATAATAATAAATGTTGATGTGGAGCATTAACACTGAAAAGGTTGAATAATTCTGGAACCTGGTTTGAACATCAGCATCATAAGCCTCTCAAGAATCATGTACAAGAAATGGAAATATCAGAGAGAACCTGAGGACTAAACAAAATTACTGAAACTATGGCTGTTGCACACACATCGCAACCACAAAGGAAGTAATTTATGTAACTGGTACCTTCAGTCAGTCATGATGGCAAAACTGATACCGAGTTGACAGTTTTTAGAAAAAGGCTTCATTTTATTTCAATGGGCATGTACACACTGGGGCACATAAATCCTACATCCCATACAAGGAATTAATGCTTGTACTGTCCGAAGTATGAGCTACAGGCCATGTTTTATTCAGGAAACATTAATTCTTCCACATGTACTGCAAGGGGACACCGCCATACAGTATCACTGCAGCACAGTGAGCAGGAAAGCCAGCAACCCATGCAGTGAACATGCCCTCTAGTAAATTTTTATTAACTGCCTTCATGAAGCTGAGCCCTTCTGGAAAAGCTGCTAATTATATAGCTACTCCAGAGCTTCCCACCAATTTATGGAACCCAGTTCATTAACGTATTCACAATAGCCCTCCACCAGTCCCTATCCTGAGCCACATCAATCCAATTCATACCATCCCAACCTATCTCTCTAATATCCATTTTAATATTGTCCACCCACCTACCTCTTCATCTTCCTAGTGGTCTCTTTCCTTCTAGCTTTCCCACCAATATAGTACATGAATGCATATTCTCCCCATTAGTGCTACATGCCCTGCCCATCTCATCTTCCTTGACTTCAATATACTATATGCATGCATATTCTCCCCATTAGTACTACATGCCCTGCCCATCTCATCTTCCTTGACTTCAATATACTATATGCATGCATATTCTCCCCATTAGTACTACATGCCCTGCCCATCTCATCTTCCTTGACTTCAATATACTATATGCATGCATATTCTCCCCATTAGTACTACATGCCCTGCCCATCTCATCTTCCTTGACTTCAATATACTATATGCATGCATATTCTCCCCATTAGTACTACATGCCCTGCCCATCTCATCTTCCTTGACTTCAATATACTATATGCATGCATATTCTCCCCATTAGTACTACATGCCCTGCCCATCTCATCTTCCTTGACTTCAATATACTATATGCATGCATATTCTCCCCATTAGTACTACATGCCCTGCCCATCTCATCTTCCTTGACTTCAATATACTATATGCATGCATATTCTCCCCATTAGTACTACATGCCCTGCCCATCTCATCTTCCTTGACTTC